TCCCTCCCTTCCTTCTCCCTTCCTCCCTCCATCCCCTCTTCCTTCCTCCCTCCCCTTTTCCTTCCTTCCTTCCTTCCTTCCTTCCTTCCTTCCTTCCTTCCTCCTTCTTCCTTCCTTCCTTCCTCCTTCTTCCTTCCTTCCTTCCTTCCTTCCTTCCTTCCTTCCTTCTTCTTCTTCTTCTTCCTTCCTTCCTTCCTTCCTTCCTTCCTTCCTTCCTTCCCTCCTTCTTTCCTTCCTCCTTCTCTCCCTTCCTTCCTCTTTCTCTCCCTTCCTCCCTTCCTCCCTCCATCCCCTCTTCCTTCCTCCCTCCCCTTTTCCTTCCTCCCTCCCTCCCTCTTTCCTTCCTCCCTTCCTTTTTTGTCCCTCCCTCTTTATTTCTTTCCTCTCTCCCTTCATTCTTCCCTTCCCCCGTCCTCCTCCCTTCCTTCTTTCCTTAGTCTTCCCTTCTGTCTCTATACTTTTATCTCTACTTCCTTCTTTCCCTCTCTCCCTCCCTCCCCCAAACATGTACTGAGCTCTGCCTGGAGGTTAGGGCCTGAGAAGTGAATGGGACAAGCCTTTTCCCTGTGAGCTAGGAGATGACACAGGGACTGCCCTCAGCATGGTGTTGGTGCTTGGCAGGCCCTCAGTAAAGGGTAACTTGTTACTAGGATGGCCTTCCAGTTGCCACGGCGTTGAGTGTAACGACCATGGGCTGACAGCATGCTGGCCTAGAGGGGGGGGTCTGATTACCAAGGGCCCTGGCGATGGTGGGGTGCCGCATCTCTGCTCATCTCTTCACTTGCCAGGCACTTCCGTTTCAGCACCTTCGGGCCCAAGTCTGGGTGGCCTGGCTTCTGCCCAGTGAGGGTTTCCCCAGCTCTGCTCAGAGCTTCCGCGTGCCCCCTGGGAGGACCGGGAAGGGAGGGGTGTGCCTTGTCCCCAGTGGCTACTTTGTCTACGGAATTCACAGCGCGGGGGCCACAGCATGGGCCCACTGGGTGCCAGGCCAGAGCTGCCCGGGGCCACCTCCCACTTTGTCTTGTTGCCTGTGTCCCCTGTGTCTTCCTGTCCTGCGCACTCTCTTCAGATCTCTCTCTCAGAGCTTTCCACCCCTCCCCTTCCCCTGTGCAGCTCAGAGGGGCCTCAGAAGTGCCTGGGTTGTAGGAGGCCCCTTCCTGCCATCCCCTCCCCAGCACCCTGCACTCCCTGCCCTCTCTCCCCGTCCTAGAAGTTACGTCCCCGTTCCCCTGCACTTCTTCTTCGACCCCACACTCCTCTCATGTCAGGCACTCTGAACCTTTGTCCTTTCTCCCTCCATCTTTGTCTCCACCGAGGCCCTGCTGTACCTGCTTAAGGGCTCAGCTGGTGTGCACCCCCTCCCCGTGCCCCAGCCTCTGGCCTGCCTCCTGGCCCCCTACCTGGCCTGCAGCCTCCTCATACAATGGGTAGACCGGCTGCCCCTGGCGTGCCCTGGGGCCTGGTGCACGGTAGGTTTGAGGTCTAAGCTCACTTTCGGTGTCTGCGGCCGAGGGTCACTATGTGCGTGCCTTACCTGTGTTGCAGGGGTTAGTGATTCATCGTCGGTGGGATTTTAGGCACTGAAGCGTGTCTGTGGAGGTGATGTTTTGGGGGGCGGTTGCTACCCAACTTGGCCTTGGCTCAGGCCCTGCTTTTTGCTGCCTTTGTGATCTGACCCCTCCCACTCTTCCTCGGATCTGGTGGTAGCTGCACCCCCCACTCCACGGTCTCAGGGGTGGCCCCCCTCCTCCACCTCCTCAGCACGGGGTCCACGTGGGAGGCAGGGGCGAGGGGAGGCCTCATTGCAGGGACCTGTTTCTGGTTATGTCACCGCAGTTTCTCCAAATGCAAGTTACTACTTGCATCAAGGCAGCTGTTTCCTTTGTTGAGGAAGAGAGAATTCCTGGGCGGGGAATTTCCTCCCTGTCCACCCCAGATCGAGAACATCAGTGGTCTCATGGGGTGGCCTTTGCCCAACCTGCAGTGACTGCAACGACATCAAATAGTAGGAGCCCCCTTGAAGTGGTTCAGAAGGGTACAGGTGGCACTAACTTGATTTCCTCTCCTCGGACCCCAGTATGGCCTCTGAACACGGGCTCTGCTGCTGTTCCAGCAGGGGTTTGTTGGGCCGACCTTGCCCAGGCAGCCCAGCCACCTTCGGATCCTAGCCATCTAGGAGAGCCCTTGCCGGGGCACAGCCCCCAGTGCAGCCAGGGGGCTTGTGCTGAGGCCTTGACCGATTTAGGGCAGAGAAGCTCCCATCACTGCCCCAAGGGCAGAGTGCAGGAGCTGGTGATGTTCTGATCAACTGTGTGAAGCCGGTGGGCTGGTGGGTGTGGGACTCCCCCAGATGATGTCCCTCCGTGTTCTCCCTGTCACTGGGATTCACAAAACTCCTGAGCAGACAGCCCCTAGAGAAGAGTCGTAGAATTTTGCAAGCCATGAGCCTGGGTCTAAAACCTGAGTCCGTACCCCCACCTCCTGCAGCCCCTTCCCTGAAAGTAAGGAGTCTTGTGAGCAAAGCGAGTTAGTCTTTGCAGAGCCAGCCGGGTGCTGGGGTCTGTTCTGCTCACAGCTGGGACAGGCCTGAGGTGGGACAGGCCTGAGGAAGCATAGCATCGAGCATTTGTTTTGCACTCTCTAGATTTCAGTGTTGAATGATACGGGAAAAACAAAATGACAAAGATACTCTGAGGGAGAGACAGACTTGTGATTTCTTTCCTTGTTGCAGATGGTTGAGATGTAAACTTTTGCTTTACGTCTCAAGACAGGCAGGTAGACATTAGTTTGCAAATAGCAGTGCCCCTGGGCGCCTGGGTAGCTCAGTCGGTTGGGCATCTGACTTTGATTCAGGTCACGATCTCACAGTTCACGAGTTCGAGCCCCGCATCGGGCTCTGTGCTGACAGCTCAGAGCCTGGAGCCTCCTTTGGATTCTGTGTTTCTGTCTCTCTCTCTGCCCCTCCCCTGCTCACGCTTGGTCTCTCTCTCTTTGTCAAACAAACAAAAAAAAAACATTAAAAAAAATTTTTTTAAGACAAATTGCTGTGTCCCTGTTAACACTTTGAGGAAACATTTTCAGCACTCGGTCAGCAAACACTTTTTTTGGTTGCCAGAAATCAGTCTTGGAAGTTAGATGGAATGTTGTAAGCCAGCGGTTTCGTGTCCAAATTTTGTCATCATGGACTGGGGCAGCCACCGCGGGCTCTCTGAGTGCATCTTCTGGTTTCCCATTTGTAGACACACCCTCGAACCTCTACTGGAATTTCACTTCTGTAATATCAGAATGCGCAACTTCGGGGTCAGTAAAATGTAACTTACCGAGAGGGAACTTTTGCTTGCCCTGTAAAATCCTTCCTGTAAATTGGATTCCGAATTGCACTGGACCAGGTGTGGTTGGACCCAAGGAGTGGACTGCAGATCACATGCTGGGGCTTGGCTTGATCACCCCAGCTCACTGCTCCGGGACCACTGTGGGCTGGCATCTGGGCTTTCTATCTAGGCCCCCGTCTCGTCCGAGGGTGCCGTAGTGGATGGGACTTACTTTAGCAGTGAGACAGGAGAGAGTAAAGTGCCTAACTGGCTCCTGCTTTCCTGGTCTTGGTTCAGGAGAGAGGACCCTGAGGCCACACGACACCCCAGAGCCTGGGCCGGCTGCAGATTCCTGGTTTGGATGCACTGAATGCGGCCCTGGCCACTGAACAGGTGTGGTCAATTGAAATTTGGGTGGCGTTGTGGTCTACTGAAGGGGGCTCCTTAAATCGGAGAGAGAAGGGAACCCCCGAGGACTTCCTCAGTTCCTCAACCTTTAGAATTCTAAAGAAGAGTGAGGGAAAGAGAGAAAGAGAGTGAGAGACGGAGACAGAGAGCGGGAGCTCTCTTATTTGCTTATTTCTTCTGTCCCATCTGGAGAAGAAATGGTTAGATGCCCCGCCCCCTTCTCTTTTTGCAGGTGGCAATTTCCCATTAAAAGGAGCTGAGCAAATTGGGTTTATCGCAGCAAAGGTCACATAGTTCCCATTTTTAAATTGCTCAATGAATTGGGGCAGTGGGGCTATTAAATGTTGTTAGACTCTTGACTAGCCTGGCAAATTGTTACCTTGGATGAATGCTGTTTACCTGTCTTATTGAAGTCGATATGTCCGACCTGCAGGATTGCTAACAGGCCTTATTTTTTCAGTTCCTGCCCACCACGGCTTTAAGAATACCCTTCAGCCAGGAGGGAGCTCCGTTGCTTTAAGACTTGCCTGGTAAGGAACATCGTTTTGTAGTTCGTTGAACTGGTGTCTGTCTGTGAGTCTGTGGCTTGTCCAGGCCGCCCTGTCTGGGTTACAGACCCCTGTGCTGGGGAAGTGTTCTCCCAGCCAGTCCCTTTTCCTCCCTGGACTGAGAGGGGTTCCAGAGAAGCTTCCGGATTCGAAATTCCCCGGGACTCGAGCGTGGGTCCCAGGTCTCCTAGGTGGGATGAGCGTCTGATGTCAAGACATGCCCAGAAAGTCTCAGGACGGGGCCACCGGTGGGGCAGGGCCCTGCAAGGTTGACTTCTTTCTCTGGGTGACAGCCTTAAGACTCGCCGCCCACACCAGCTGGCGGCTGGGACGGGAGCGGGTGCGGCGGCTGCCCAAAGCCACGTGGCCCCACGCGAGCACCACCTGCGGCCCGTTTCCCCATCACCCACCGAGTGGGGCCGGGGCCCGGCCCGGTCTTGGAGGACACTTGTCCCAGAGCGGCTTTGTGTTTGTCGTCTCAGACTCAAGATCCCAGACTGAGTAATGGAGTGTTCTCCTGGCATCGAAGCGGATAAAAACTTAAAATGCAAACGAGGGGGCACGGCTGCATTCGATGTCTGCACCCGCCTCGTCGGAGCTGGCCGCGATATCTCTGTAAACTCACCCTCAGATCTCATTAGCCCAGAGCCCACCTCCTCCTGACCATGGGCCTCAGAGGTCACTACACAACCGGGGAAATTGATAGCGGAATTATGCGCTCAGAAATTAATTTTGCATTGTACCGAATATATATTTTTTTATTGTGACTTTATCTCGTTGAAAAAGTGCTTACTTCCGATTGTGTGGATATTAGTGACCATGGATTACTTTTATTTTGGTCTTTACACAACAGTTATATTAGAAATTTGCTGTTTTATTCTTACCTTCTTAGTAAAAATCCTTTTATCACACAATGGGTAATTTATATCCATTACCAGGGCTTTCAATCCTTTTCAGTGGGGCTGTCAGCGCCGTTGGCACAGTAATGATTAATGTGATCTAATAATAGTGTGCCATTATATTACCTTAGTAAAACATGTACCAACATCCTATTCGGATCTACCAAATTCATAGCTTCCTATAATATTTTTGTTGAAAGACAGGATTACTATTTTTCAAAGCTGATTTTTTCCCCTTTAACATATTTAATGAAATTCACAATTCTCTGCCTTGGTAATCCGGGCATGTGATTGGGTTCAGCGGGTGCATTTGACATCTGTAGGTAGTGTTGTGATTTGTCAGGGAGCGGTTGGACAGTCTCAGGGCCCTGCCACCAGCAGATCCTGGGTTGTTTTGCCTCGAAGAAAAAAAGAATTCTGGGTTTCCAGCTTCTTCTGACTTGTAATAAGGAAGGTGTGTGTTTGCTCAAAAGGCAAAAGAGGAAGTAATTTGGCTCAAAGAGCCCTTTCTCCCTCTCCAGTTTTATCCTCTCCTCTGTCACCTGCCTTGGTCTGCTGGTGAACAGGAGGGTAGCAAAGCCAGTGGAAGCAGCTTCAAACCCTCTATCTCTGGCTCGGCCTCTTTGAATCGAAAGCGGGGGTTCTCAGCCTCGGCGCTTTGGCATTTGGGCCGGGTGAGTCTTTGCTGTGGGGACCAGCCTGTGCATCGTAGGGGTTTAGCAGCACCCTGGCCCTCACCCACCAGAGGCCAACTGCATACCCGGTTCCCCCCACTGTGACAACCAAAAATGTCTCCTGACACTACCAAGTGTCCCCTGGGGGGCACAGCCATCCCTGCTTGAGAGCCACTGGTCTAATGTGATGGGAACACAAGCAGATTGGTCTTGGAGGGTGGGAGAATTCCAGCTGGAGTTGCAGAGTTTGGGGGTGCTTCTTTGGGACATCTTTGGCTTTGGGAGGGGAGCTGTGTGGGCGAAGGCGACACACCGCGTCCTTTTCCTGGCTGAAACCCAGCCGCCTTACTTCTTTCTCCTCCCGCCTCTCTCACAGAGCCTGGCCCCAGCAAGGGTCTGAATCTTAGCTTCTTCCACTTAAATCCCATTATAATCACGCTCATGATTGATAACATTCCACCTTTTCAAAAGGCTTTAAAATCTGTGTCAACCAAGGATGACATTATTGTAGCGCGGGCGAGATGTATTCAAACAATTACACACTCAAATCAAAGTGGGAAGGTTTGTCCTTCTATTTTGATGCCTTTGTGACGTGGCTTTCGCCAGCGCCTCGGCCCCACAGCCCCCGAAACCTTCAGCAGGGAAATGCATGGGAAGGAACAGGTTTTGCCCTTGAGATCACTCAGCTCTGAAAACAGTTTGATATTTGGGTTTCTTAGGGCTGGAGGGCAGGGGAGGCAAGAGAGGTTGTTGAGCACAGGAGAGAGAGCGAGCGAGAAAACAAGAGAGAGATATCCTTGCTTTTGATTCAGAACAAAAATTACTGCTGCAACATTGGCTCGAGATATGCAATCAACTGAAATCAGGAAAAGTATTTTGAATACAAAATTTATATTGAAATACTTGAATCTCGATACTTGTGCACCCACATACATGTATATATTTAAATCAAGGAAGAGAAGATGAAAAATAAAGCTTTTGTCATAAAAATATTGCTTGTAGTATTTGCCCTCAAATGATTTCTGCCACATCAGAATACATTTTTGTACTGTTAGCACTTCCATAGAAGACACTCTTGTTTGCTTTCACAACTGATCCTTGATGATAACAACAAGTGAAGAAATGGTTCTGATTTACCTTTGTTTTAGGTGGATTTCAAATGCATTGTGGTGTTTGGTGTAGGAAGCATTTTGGTGACCCACCCCTCCTTTACTGGTTTTGCTCTGTCTCTCCCACTACAGCATAAAGCTGGTAAGAGCAGGGCCTTGAGTGTGATCTTCAGTGTTGCTTTTCTTTTTCCTGAAATGGTGTCCGATGCAGAATAGGTTCTCAATAAAACTGGTGACTGACAGGATGGATGGATAGATGGGTGGTTGAAT